ATAATAATAATAATAATAATAATAATAATAATAATAATAATAATAATAATAATAACAACAATAATAATAATTTGCCTGCAAGAACTGGTGGAACGATAAAGGCACAAGAAATGAAGAAGCTGAAGTGCTCTGAAACTTTAGAATTCAAAATGACAGGCAACTGCCACATAACATTCCCAGACTTAAACAACTGTTGACAAGATAAAAAAAAGTCTGGATAATGGATGTGGCAGTACCTGAAGACAGCAGAAGAGAAGAGAAAGAACTGGAGAAGATAACAAAATATAAAGATCTACCAATAGTAATAGAACAACTGTAGCAAAGGCAAGCAAGGGTAGTACTAATAGTAATAAGCACCTTGGGTGCAAACATAAAACAACTGGAGCACTACTTGAATACCATCCACATTGACAAATTCATCATCAGTCAATGGCAAAAGGGAGCTTACATCCAGCAACAGTGCGTCTAATATCATCAAACATCCACATCTGCCTATCCCAGGTCCCTGGGAAAGATTCTATTGCAACAAAGCAAAATAATAAAAAAAATGCGGGGGGCATTCCCACAATTAAGGGTTGACTCACTGTAAATGTAGGATAGCTGGAAGAGCATTCCTAGAAATGTAAGATAGCTAGAAGAGCACTTCAATTGACTGACGAACCCATAAAAAATGTAAGAACCTCAGAAGTAAGACTATTTGCAAAGAACTGACTGGCTTGCCAATAAGTACAGAATATCTAGAAAAATATTTCTGAAAGGCAGAATGGCTAATGGATCCACAGTGAGTTGAATTAGTGCATTGTAGAAGAAAAGTTTATGTCCTCTACTCCATGTTCAGTATAACACAAATAATTTTAGAAGAATGTAAGAAGAATGTTGGAAGAGAATAATGAAATTGTAAGTAAGACAGATGGATATAAAAATGTATACAATACAATACAAAGTAAAAGAAATATAATTTGAATAAATAGAAGGAAAGGGAGTAATAAGGAGAAGTTGGGATAAGATATGAAGTTGAACAGATAAGGTAAATATATATATTAAATTGTGTTCATATGGAAATGTGATAATTTGGAATTATCCTGTCTTTAAATAAGATGTCTTATTGGTTTTTTCAGAAAAAGATTTCTTATGTTATTATATCCTATGCTTTGCTTGTCTGTATATTGTTTTGTAAAATTAATAAAATTTGTTTAAAAAAAAATATAACACAAATATGAATTATCTCTTATGAAAACCTCTGTCTCAATTTAGAAGCATGGCATATCACAAAGCACTCACCTTATCATGGCTAATCTCTTAACTCTCCCAGTTCTAGAAGTCATTCTTTCTTCCCTGGGAGGCTCTTGTGGGATGTGTGTCACCTACACGTCTTCCTTCAGTGGCAGTAAAGGCATTTCGGGGGGAGGGTGTCAAAAAAGTTAACATGGCAGTTCCTGTCAACAATATATTATTCATCTGACAGAACATTATACTGTAGATGCCTAGGGGGCTAAAAAAAGCATCACTCAATACACGTATTACCCATAGTCTGTAAATGCTCAATGTTTGGGTTGCCATAACACAAAGCCAAGCCAAGCCAACCATAAACATGGCTTACAGCCCACTATGAATCCAATATTAAATTGGGGTCTCGTGAGTTTTCCATCGTTTAATGAATATACCACAATTGTGTAGGTTTGCCACAAAATACTAAGTCACAAACAAGCCAAATTACATCATATTGCATAAGCCTAGTCACTATGATTGATTAATGACCAATGGTTTATGCCTTAACTTTTATGAATTCAGCCAATTCCTTTAAGGATCAGTCCTTAAAGTGTGGCTCAACACAATGCTTGAATTCAGCCACTGCAGCCCTATGGATTTTTGGTTTAAAAGTGGCACTTTTAACATGAATGTCAAGAAATGGCTAGTGTTTGGTAATTAAAAATGAAAGAATTTATGATTTCAGTGAGGGCTGGAGACAAATCAGCACAGGAGATTACAAAACATTCTACAAACACATCCACAGATAATTTCTACGTTTATTTTTATACCAAAAAAGTTATGTGCAACAAATAAACATTCTTACAATATTTACATGGTTTTAATTCCCCTGTTAGCAAAATTGAATTTCAATCTCAGAATGTCACAGTCCTATATTGAACCAAAAAATAAAAAAATAAGAATGGAATGACTCCAATCGAGATGGAAATGTTCTGGAGTTCGAAGCACATCAAAAAGTTGTCAGATCAAACATACGAGACAGAACACACATTGAATATTTAGGCCATGCTTAATACATTTTTTAAAAAAATGGAAACGGAATACTTCATCTTTTTTTTACTAGTTTTACTAGGTCATGTTTAATTGGTCTTGAAAGAATCCAAGCAAATGTTTAACCTGTTTTGACAATTTTTGTTCATACAGATCAGGAGATATTAATCAGCAAAAAGGAAATCATTTTTGTCTCTTTGTTTTGAATCAGAATATCGAATTGAGCCCCAAAGTAATCATTTCCTGAAAGTTTCATCTCATTCTAGAGCCCACTGTGACGTTTTCCTTAAAGAGTTGCCTTAGTAGAAATATTCCTCTTCCAAGGGTATAGATTTCTCTTGCTACTTCTTGATTCCTCCTGAAAATCAAGTGACAGAAACCTTTCCTGGGAGTGGCAATATACTAGATGCAATGGAGCCATCTGCTTCATGGATACATTTTCTGGTATCTCAAGAAAGCCGTTCATCCATTCAAAACTGCATTACAAGCACTGAGAACCATACTGACTGAGGCTAAGTAAGATTTCTAAGAAAGGAAAAGGGCTTGTCTGACCTATGGAAAGCCTTGATTTCTTGGGGAAAAAAAGGCAGGGCCCTTTCTTCTGAGCAATCAACAAGTGGGAGAGATGTAGATTTAGGGTGGTGGTGGTAGAGAGAATTAAATTGATCTTCAAGAAAACTACCTCCTGGGACACTGTCAGTTTTAAAAAACAACAACCCTGAACTTTTTGTCACTGAAAAAGTTCCCCTCCTTTAAAATTAGAAGCAACTTAGCTGATGAGACAGAACCAAAGAGCAGGGGCTCCTAAGCTTTCCAAATTAAAAGAAGGGAATTGGAGTGAAACACAGTGAAAGCTGCACTTGAGAAAAACAAGGAAATGCTGCATCTTCCATCATCCATATAGGTTTGGGAATATGGCCAAGCACCTTAAAGAGAACGAATTACCTTGATGGAAGAAGAGGGAAGACAGCAGAGAGTCCACACCTGCAGTGAGATTTTCCCATCATCTGCTTGCAAATATTACAATGCACAGGCAAGGAGTAGGCTCCGCTGTGTTAAAAATATTGGCTTGCTTCTCACAGCCCAGCACTCAGGAGGACCAATTTTCCATTTGGACAAAGGGTGCCCTACAATCTCTACTTCAAAATCTTGTCCAGTTTGGCCCTTAGTCCAAAGTGTTTCAGCTGTCTAGGAATTCTGGGATTTGGGGGGGAGGTCCCAACATGTCTGAAGGCGACCTGACTGAGAACACTCATCCAACACATTGTGTGGTGTTAAACGTTTTAACACCACACAATACTACTGAAATCTGGAGATGGGGGAGAGTGGTACAGAAGTCAGGATTTTGCTTAAACATACACAGGGTGACAATACCTTCACACCTCTGTTCTTGAACAAAAAAAAAATAAGAATCAACATTTAAAAAATGTTGACTTGGAAAGAGAAATGAGCAGAACAGGTAACTTTTCAGCAGAGGGGAAAATGGAGTCAGCTTGCACTTCCGCCCAAGGAATTGGAGAGGGGAAGTCCTAGGAAGAAAACTACAACTCCCTTGTATCCCCTATAACTGACCCTGGTGTATAGGCAACTATGCAACTTTATGAGCTGTGGACTTCAACTCCTAGAATTCCAGAGCATGACTCAGGAATTCTGGGAGTTGAAGTCCACAGGTCATGAAGTTGCCATTGTTGCCCACCCTGGTATAGATAATGGAAATCTCTACTTAGAAAGATAGAAAAGCCCCATCTCATCTGCAGACATGTAAAAAAATAAAGCTTCACACTATGTTACATTAATGTCTTAAAATAAAATTTTATCAGTGAGGGTATAAACTTGAAAATATTCTCCACATACCAAAGGTAACAAAATTTGTAAATTATACTTCCCCCATCAGCTCTAATTTCAAAATTCAAGACAAGCTTTAACTGTACTCTGGTTAATACAAAATACATTTCTGAGAAACTCTGACAAGGACAACAAGCAGAAATTAGTGTTCCTTTTAATACATATATACATACATGTACATGTACATGTACATATACATATATATACATACACACCATAAACACCTGTCTTCCTCCATTAAACTTGCGTTCCACCATAGTTCTGTACATAAACCGAATGTTCATTTGGCAGGCATTTAAATACTGTCAGACATCCCATCTTCAGCAGATGCTGCTCCCATTGGAAAATAAAATCCTGCACTTTTACAAAATGTTAAGTGAATCACATTTATACCTTAATGCTGATTTTTTTTTTCATAGAAAATGACACAAAAAAAGAGGTCTCCTTACAGACTCAGGAGGAGGAAAGTGTTTAGACGCAGACTGGAATTTTAAAAGGGAGCTTTTTGGGAAGATCACTCTTCTTGGGAATAAGCAGAAGCAAGCATTGATGGTAAGGAAACAACAGGGTTCAAGTTTTTGGCAACGATGCCCTTTGTTGTATTCTGGCTATATTCTGGCCTGACCCGGTCTTTTTAGTTAGCTTGTTATGACCCAAGTGCACGGCTATCTCTGCTATAAAAGATGCCAAAATTGCTTTCTACCCTTAATACAAGTCTTCTAAATGTGTTCATCATATGAGCAGAAGAACCGTCTTAATGATCTCAGGGAGCCCAACTGGTGAATACACATCACAAGAAGCCTCTGGCAGATCACAGCATCCATTTGCTTCCAAAAGCTGCTTCGGTCACCGATAACTCCTTTTCGATCCTATCAATCCTGTAACTCATTCATTCTCTGGAAGCTTCTGGTACATTCTTGCATTCCAATGAGAAACAGGCTGCTGCAACAGGATCCTCGTTCTGCCACCGCAGGAAGAAACACAGCAATCTTGCCAAGGAGTAGCTCTTCTGGTTTGCTTGGAACAGCTATGACCCAGCTGTCATATAAGAAACTGCAACCATCTTCTAAGGCTTCCCTGACATACCGAGGCATACTGAGAGACTCCTGGGTAAACTAAGCCCTAAATCTAAATATAGCAGACAAAATTTTATGTTCTGAGAATGTGCCTTTCTAAGGGATACTCCAGCAGGAAAAACAGAAGTCAGCATTGACTGCAGAGTTCAAAGCTGTGCCAATCAGGTCAGCAGCCTGTCTCTCTCTCGCTCTCTCTCAAAAAAAAAAAACCCTCTAGGAATGTCCTACAAGGAACCATTTCCCTGGTGCCCTGGTATAAGAGAAGCTCAAAGGATCACCTACTACACACTGCAAAGATCTGATTCATCAAAAATATTATATATAGAGATGCAAGAACCTTTCTGCCTGCCAATTTCAATCACCCCCAATATTTGGTTTGTTAGGACAGAAGGCACTTTTTTAAAAAAAAAACACTGCATTTTAGGACGATATGAATGGGAAATTACTTCAACTTGCTCTTTCAATAGAACCATGACTGAATCTTGGGCCAATTTTGTTTACTGTCTATTTCCTTTATCCTAAATGGGTGAGGGAGCGTCAATGTACATCTCCCTAAGCCTTAGCCAAATCTGTATGTAAGAATTTGAAATTGCTCTGCCTCCACAGACATAAATCTATCTATGTCCATAATCTGGGTTTCCTACACAAGCTTCACTAAATGAAGGGGAATTTCTCAGGAACATCAAAGCACCCTCCACTGACATTTCTTTATATACCCCCCTCTTCACTTCTGTGGAACTTAGTTCCAAAGGGCTCACAGACGGACTGCATCCTAATTCTTCAGTGCATTCATTTACCCAGTGAGTTACTGAGATCCAGTGTCAAGTTGTAATTCTATACAGCAGCTAGAAATATTATAATCAAATTGGCTAACACTCTTTGGCTGTCTCACATCTTCTGAAGTACACAGCCAATTCTGCCCCTCAAACGTCATTTGTACAGGCTTCCTACTGATGAGGCCTGGGCAACTCTAGATGCCCCGTTACCCTTGTTAAGCATCCCCAGACAAAGACGGTTTCCATCCACAGCAAACAGTTCAGATGTTACAAGGAAACCCAACGTAGTTCAGCGAATTCCTTTTCTTTAGACATATCCTGGGGAAAAACAGCATCTTGGCAAAGATCTTTTGTTGCAAATCTTCTCCAGGGAAACAGACTAATTTCAATTTCATTTTTTAAAAAAACATCTCAATAACACAATCAACCGTTCTTCAAAGTTATGCTTCAAGTCATCACTTGGTTGAGCTGTGCTGACCTTTCTTTGCCAGGGCATAGCCAGTCTTTTCTGCCACTTTGCGCCAAGTTGTGGTAAATGTTTTAGTTCCATCTGTGTGGTCAGATTCCCTTGGCTACCAATACACATAATGTAAACAGGGCAACATTTCCCTATGGTACCTATAAAGTCTAGAATAATCATGATCTCCCCCTACCTCAATTCACACTGAGATGGGAGACTTCCTGTAGCCTACCTGGAATATTTAGGGAAGGGTAAAGAAGGAGTAAAGAATATGCCTCTGCGAACTCCTTCAAAGTAAAGTTAAAGCTTGTCTCTGATCAGATTAAGACGTTTGCAAAGTTCCTCACCATAGCTATTGACTGAGGAGTTACCCAGGGTCCCTATCCTTTGAGTCATTCTAACTGAATTAGCTATGATTCCTGGGGAAAGCAAGTGATGTGGATAATAATTAAAAAAAAATCTTTTTACTGTGGAAATGAATATAAACAGAAGCCGGGCCTTCAAACTGTCAGTCAAAAGTTTGCAAAGTAGTTAATCCTGTTTGGGTGGGAGCTGCCGTTTCCAGGCCTCATTCAAGTATACTAGTCGTTTGTAGTTGATGATCAAGAGAACAAAGTTCAGCAAGTATGTGATAACACAGACTACGCAGAATTCCTTCAGCACAAAGTACAGAATATAAGACAGGTACAAAGATCCTATTACTGACACTATGGAGGACATCATGAGGACCAGCGCTGCTACTGCACTTGCTGTCATACCTAGAAGAAGAAGAAGAAGACAAACAGTTAGTGTGGTGGCTTTCTTTGGTTACAAGCCATTATCTATCAACAAGAATTTAGGTCAAGGGGTTAGAAGAGCAAAATGTGGTCAAACCTGCCAGGTACCATTTCAAAGTCTTGTCAACCAAGGAGGAGGTTTCTCCTCAACTCAAAGGCTTAAGAACAAATTAACAAAAGGCTGTTCACTGCATGCTGATGTGAAGGAAACAAGCAATGCCTTTTTTCACAGAATGATAAAACTGGCAAGGACTGGACCTTGCCTCATGCCAGAATCCAATATGTGGCATTCCAAAACAATGACTGTCCGGTCTCCACATGAGCACATCCATTGAAAAGGAGCCCACCAGTTCTCTGGGTAGCTGATTCCGCTAGTAAAGTATTTCTAAAATGCTGCAAACACCTACAAAATCTAATTTATGGATAATTGTTAAAATACAGCAAAGTTCACTAACTGAGGAGCAGAATTTATGAGAAATGTAGATACATGCATGAGGTTTATTGCTGCTCATAATCCTGATTAAATGGCATTTCCAAATTTAGAGGCAGAATGCCTCTACTTTTCTGTTGCTAAAATGGAAGAGAATAGGGTCCTCATGCCCTGATCGTGGACTTTCCCAGGCCCATCTGACTGACCACTGTAGAAAACAATCTACTCACTTAGAAGAATCAATGCTTTGGATCCAGCACTTATGACTGATGGCTAGCATCAGAAATGCCAAGCAAGCTGTTATCCATCTCTCCCACCACCTTAAAAATACAGTACATGTTCCTTATTTCAACAAATAAAATCCCAATTATTCAGGAGTTTCAAGATTGTATGATAACTTAAGGTATTCATTAGTTTATGTTAGCAGACACATTAAATACAGTCTAAAAGAAAAAGAGCCAGGATTCTCAGCCCACTGATATTAAGAACTGAAGAAACATACAGCAGCTCGCCTTGCTCTTTTTGCAATTAACATTAATATAATGTTGTGTGGGCATTAACCATGACACACAATTAACTGCAATTCAAATCTCAGTTTGCAAAACCTTACCTTGCAGTTAATTTTGTGAAGCATTAATATTTCCCAAGTTTATTTGAGGGGGGGGGGAGAGAAGGGGTGAGTTTGCAGGCTGGAGAAGCAGCACAAAACTGGGGACAGGAGAGGAAGAAGACTGCATGAGACCTTGGAGTGGTTCCACATTCTCTTAACTGTCCCCAGGAAATGAAGCAACATTATGACTGGGCTCACAAAATGCAATTAATCCATTAAGCATTAAATTAAATTAATAAAATAAAATAAAAATGTAAGTCATGCAGAGTCACCATATAGGGCAGGTGGGCAACATAATTATTAAATGAATTATTAAATGAATAAAATTACATCTGCTCAGTCACGAAATACATCTGCCCCTCTTTGAAGATCCAAAAGTTACTTTTATAACAAAACTAAAAACTGGTCAAGAGGTTGAAGCAGAAGATTAGGACTCTTGCGGGAAATTCATACACACTCACTGCGGGTACAGCTCCGTGTCTCAGGTGAAGAAGACGCATAAGACATCCCTATATTGTTTTACACAGCAACAATGTCATGCATGGCATTTTTCTATGGCATGCAAATAAGAGAATGGATCCCACAACCTGAAGTCTTGATAGTTGGGAGAGCAGAAGAGGGGGAGCGGGAGGATGAAAGGGGCAAGGGCAGACAGGGGCGAACAGGAGCAGACACTGTTACACACACCTGCAAATACACTCACAAAAAACAGTATTGTGTATAATGCAGCATGATTACCTGTGAATAATCATTTAAAATCTAATTATTAAGGGTTTTTTGGGGGGGAAAGGGGTTTATTTTTATTAGAATTTTTGAATCTAGTTGTTTGGATTTTAGAATCTAGTTGTTCTTTGCCATCATCCACAAGCAACTAAAGCAGTGGGTATTTGCAAAAGTCTGGCCTGGATTTAAAGGAAGGAGTAGGCACTTCATGGAGAAGATTGGGAAGGGAATTCTAGCTATCACAGATAGCAGAAGGAGGTAAAGAGGAATCTGATTATCAGCCCCAGTTCTCTAATGTTGATTCCCCACCCACCCAAAAAAACCCACACCCTGCTATGAAATTCCTGGGAATTAGCAAGTTTTTCCAGCCTTGCTCTAGGATCTGCAGGCACTGCTGAAAGGACTGTGAACGTAACTTAGACATCACATTTGTCAGGCAGGCATGAATTAAATGGGAGATTAGTGAAGCACATGCTACAATTGTTAGCACTCAATACTATTATACAGGATTTTGATTACTAGACTGAAATAATCACACACAAAAAAAATTATATCCTACTCATGCCTAGAAGAGCAAAAAAAATAAGGAAGATATAGGCAGGGGTGAGAGATGGTAGTCCGCTACTTACCAAGCAACATTTGTAGTATATAGAATACAAGACCAAAAACGCTGTTTGGTTGATTTATTGCACTGTCTTTTCCAAAAATGGAGCCTAGTAGGCCAAATCCTCGACCCCATCTGAAAGAAAATAGTCCATTAAGTCTTAAGTGGTAAGCACTTGCTTTAATAAAAATACAGATCTATACACACAATGCACTTATGTACCCCCATTTGCTATGGACAGGTCGGGCAATAAATATATAGCATTATTGGATGGATGGTGTTCCCTGATATTGAACAACATTCAGATTATGCTAAATCTTGATTACAAGCCGTGGCTTAACAAACAATCCACAATATATAATACAACACAATAATAAACTATATTTATTAAAGCTACATTAAAAAATGATTAAAGTGACTAAAACTTGCTAATCTAAAACAAAGCACACATGCTAGTGTGATGCGTGAGCCCTAATCCATCACAAACAAGATGCTACCCATTACCCAACTAAGCACTATCACTAATGTGAATCCATCACCACCAATGCAAAGCAGAAAAAAAAATCTATGTAAATTTCATTTCAAATAGTAACTATCACTGTTACTCAGGATAGTAAGGGGTTTTTGTTGTTGATTTTTGTTTTGGTTTGATTTGGGTTTTTTTGCCTTCAAGTCAGGGCTGACTTAGGGATTATGTAGTCTCTGTGTTTTTTCTTTTTTCTTTTTTAAAGAGTTCAGAAGTATTTTGCCCTTGCCCTTCCTATGGCTGAGAGAGAGTGATTGACCCGAAGTCATCCCGTTGGCTTTGTGTTTAAGGTGGGACTAGAACTCACAGTCTCCCAGTTTCTAGCCGGAGTGCCTTAACCACTACACCAAACTGACTTTCAGTAATGAACCATGGTGCTTAAAATAAAATTTAAAATGCGTGGCTGTAGAATACTTTTCTCTTTCTATCATAGTATTTCCTATACCCGTGATGGCGAACCTATGGCACGTGTTCTGGAAGTGGCACGCAGAGCCATTTCTGCTGGCACATGAGTCGCCCGGAATAGATCCACTGCACATGTGTGGGGGCGGGGCGTGCGCGGGAGACACGTGTGCATGCAAAGGGGGCAAGGGGCGTGCAGGTGGGTCGCACACACGGCGCAATGTGCACAGGAGGGCATGCCCATGTGCAGGGGGTGTCATGCGTGCATTGAATTATGGGTGCACTTTCGGCACGCAACGATGAAAAGGTCCTATACCCATGCAGTAAACAGACTCATAAACAGCCTCTGTGTGCTGTGTTGTGCTCCTGGGTTGTCTCACAATAGTAATCACACTGCAAACACTCTGACAGAACTCCATATGTGACTCAGCTGGCATTCCCACCCCCAGGATTTAAGCCCAGGAAGCTTAAATCAGAATACAGTTGAAAAGCAATAATCTGCAGAACTGAATACAGAAGTGAATGAATCATCTGCTTATATCAGCCTGAACCCTGTTAAAGGTATGACTAACTTCCACATAGGCTAAGAACATTCCTGAAACCTAGAGCCAAATGGGTGGGGAAGATATGGACTGAATGTAGGTGTACCTGTTTTTAATGCGGAAGGCATCAGGTATTTTAAAAGTGTTATCACAATTTTAAAAAAAAGAGAAATACAGAAAAATATGCAAAGAGAAAAGTGTAGAATCCAATGATTAAATAACAGATAAAGAATCCTAAGCATTAATATACAAAATTAATATAAATCACCTACATATATTTAAGCATACAATAACATCATATCAAATTGTGCAAAGAATCGAGTCCTTTTCTCCTAAGATACTTTTCTAAGAAAGAACTGGGTTTAAGTCTTAGCATTTCAATTGAAATAGGGCTTAAGGAATGCTGCATTTTAGGGGCCTCAGGATCCTTATGTGAAGAGATTTGCCCACTTTTAAGGCAATTGGAGATTCTCAGTAAAAAGGATATTTAGGGTATAATATAAGGATATTTTGAATACTGTACATTCGGAATCAGTATACAAAAACTGCTATCTTTTCAGAGACTAGAAAAACCAATTAAATACTCCCAAAACTATGTTCCATCACACCTCTAGATTAAGAAGTACATATCTGTTGTGGGGGAAACCAGTTAGACTGGTAATTTTTAACTAATTTCTAACTGGAATTGTTTTCAATGAATGAAAAGGGGCAACGAGAAAAGGCAAATTACTTCAAGAAGTTTGCATTACTGGTTAATTCAGTTATCACATTCATAGCCTACACTGCATGAATGAGTCTTACGATACCTGAGTCCTAAAACATGAGGCTTGTGACCCAAATCAATGAACCTTTTTAAGAAATGCACAAATACAGGCAACTTGGCATTAAATCATGAACTGGATGTGCAATATATACACCCATGTAAAATATAATCCACAGACTGTTGGCATGAGAGTTTGGCTGCTCAAGACAACAATGCAAAATGCTACACCTTGCTGAGCCCACACTATCTTCTGCTTAAGAACAGAATATTAATATTGATTTTTAAATTAGTGCAACTTTTCAGAACAGCTGGGGACAACCATTAGTAAGCAACTGCCAAACACAAAATATAAGTCAGATTGCTTGTTGGTAAACAGCTTTCATCTGACTAAAAATGTACACAGTAAAATAACTGTACCACCCATCTATTCTCTGCTCTCTTCCGCCCCATCCTAGGAATTAAAAAGATGCTAGTGAAGTAACACATGTTTTATGTACACTGCTCAAAAAAATAAAGGGAACACAAAAATAAGACACCCTAGATCTGAATGAATGAAATATTCTTATTAAAAACTTCATTCATTGCATAGTTGAATGTGCTGGCAACACAATCACACAAAAATTATCAATGGAAATCAAATTTAGCAACCCATGGAGGTCAGGATTTGGAGTTACACTCAAAATTAAAGTGGAAAAAAACACTACAAGCTGATCCAACTTTGATGTAATGTCCTTAAAACAAGTCAAAATGAGGCTCAGTAGTGTGTGTGGCCTCCACGTGCCTGTATGACTTTCCTACAACGCCTGGGCATGCTCCTAATGAGGTGGCAGATGATCTCCTGAGGGATCTCCTCCCACACCTGGACTAAAGCATCCCCCAACTCCTGCAACGTCGTGTTGGTGGATGGAGCGAGACATGATGTCGCAGATGTGCTCAATTGGATTCAGGTCTGGGGAACAGGCGGGCCAGTCCATAGCATCAATGCCTTCATCTTGCAGGAACTACTGACACACTCCAGCCACATGAGGTCTAGCATTGTCGCGCATTAGGAGGAACCCAGGGCCAACCGCACCAGCATATGGTCTCACAAGGGGTCTGAGGATCTCATCTCGGTACCTAATGGCAGTCAGGCTACCTCTGGTGAGCACATGGAGGGCTGTGCGGCCCCCTAAAGAAATGCCACTCCATACCATTACTGACCCACTGCCAAACTGGTCATGCTGGAGGATGTTGCAGGCAGCAGAATGTTCTCCATGGCGTCTCCAGACTCTGTCACATCTGTCACATGTGCTCAGTGTGAACTGCTTTCATCTGTGAAGAGCACAGAGCGCCAATGGCGAATTTGCCAATCTTGGTGTTCTCCGGCAAATGCCAAACGTCCTGCATGGTGTTGGGCTGTAAGCACAACCCCCACCTGTGGACGTCGGGCCCTCATACCACCCTCATGGAGTCTGTTTCTGACTGTTTGAGCAGCCACATGCTCATTTGTGGCCCGCTGGAGGTCATTTTGCACAGCTCTGGCAGTGCTCTTCCTGTCCCTCCTTGCACAAAGGTGGAGGTAGCGGTCCTGATGCTGGGTTGTTGCTCTCCTATGGCCTCCTCCATGTCTCCTGATGTACTGGCCTGTCTCCTGGTAGCGCCTCCATGCTCTGGCCACTATGCTGACAGACACAGCAACACAGCAAACCTTCTTGCCACAGCTCACATTGATGTGCCATCCTGGATCAGCTGCACTACCTGAGCCACTTGTGTGGGTTGTAGACTCCATCTCATGCTATCACTAGAGTGAAAGCAGCGCCAGCATTCAAAAGTGACCAAACCATCAGCCAGAAACCACTCCTTTATTGGGGATGTCTTGCTAACTGCCCATGCTTTCCACCTGTTGTCTATTCCATTTGCACAACAGCATGTGAAATTGATTGTCAATCAGTGTTGCTACCTAAGTAGACAGTTTGATTTCACAGAAGTGTGATTGACTTGGAGTTACATTATGTTGTTTAAGTGTTCCCTTTATTTTTTTGAGCAGTGTATAAGAGATATGCTTTGAACCTGGCATCTCCAAGGAGAACAATTGCACATGGGGGGAATAGATGGTACATTGAATAGGGACACTGTTTAGCTGCGCAGAATGGATTGCAGTAATGTGGCTAATGAATTCATTAGTGTTAGCTTAGCTTAGCCATTTGGGGGTGATTCAATAAATCATGATTAAATAACACACGACTCAAATAGTACTATGGTCATACTCAATACAAAATTTCAGGAGGATAGTAGCCTTACAAAAGGCTGGGCAGAGAATACTGAGTGGAGAGATCCAGTTGTCAAATATATGATAAGGCAAATTCTATACTTATATAATGTATTTGACATATATTACATATCTTTTCTATTTAGTTACATTTATACATTGCCTGACTCCCAGAAACAAGAGGCAGTTCATAAGTAAAAAGGCAAAAAACAACAACAGTAAAAATAAGGAAAAAGATGACAAAAGATGCAGTAACAAAGCACCCCCATTCCATGAAGGGGCTTCCCCTAGCCAAAGGCCTTCTGAAACACAAGCAGTTTGGGGCCACCTGGATATTTGGGGGACCTCACTCCAAAGAGTAGGAATTAGATGTGGTCATATTTATATAAACCACCTATCTATCTTGATATTGTTCATCGGTCAAACTCAAAGAAAATTCATGGATATTATTCAAGAGAGCAAATTAATTGCCTTAAGACCACTAAGTAATTTTTTTTAAAACAAAAGCTTCTGTTTCAGGTCAAATCATGTTAACACAAACATTTTATCGTACCGATAATGGATTGATTTAACATCTAAGTGAAATTTTCCCAATGGTTTAGGCACATTAAATTAAAGTCTTGTGGTTTGATTTCTGAGTAGGCCCTTGTGATT